GTGTCAGTGGTCACTTTAGGATTTACAGTGAACACCTTTAACTTTTACAGTCTTCAAATGATATTATACCACTTGAAGTATGCCATAAGAAACTCAACAACAGTGAGCCCTTTCTCCCTCCTAGCATTTGTGATACTGTTGTCATATATTTACTTCTTTGATATGTTATTACTGTTTTCGATTAAACAGTCAATCGTCTTATAAAGAGATATAAATAACAGAGAAATGTATTTTAAATTTACCCACATAATTACTGTCTGATGTCCTTTATCTCTTTGTGTAGACACAATTTCCATCAGATATCATCTTCTTGCTTTAAGTATTTCTCATAACATTTCTTGTAATTCCACTGATAGTTAATTCTTTCAGCCTTTGTATGTCTGGAAATGTATTTTCTCCCATTTTTGAAAGCTATTTTCACTGACTATAGAACTCTAGATTGGCAAGCTTTCCCCTTTTGTTACTTTAGAAATGTTCCTCCATTGTCTCCTAGTTACATCATTTCAAGAAGAAATCTGCTGTCATGTTAACTCTTGGTTCCTCTGTATGTAATACAGTTGACCCTTGAACAATATGAGGGGTGGGACACCAACCCCCTGTGCAGTCAAAAATCTGTGTATAACTTTTGCCTCTCCAAAAATTTAACTATTAATAGCCTACTGTTGATCAGAAGCCTTACCAATAACATAGTCAATTAACACATGCTGTGTATGTTGCATTTTTATATACTGTATTCTTACAATAAAGTAAGCTAGAGAAAAGAAAACATTATTGAGAAAATCATAAGGAAGAGGAAATACATGTACAGTACTGTCCTGTATTTATCAGAAAGAATCCGTGTATAAGTGGGCCCACACACTTCAAACCCATGTTGTAAAGGGTGAACTATATACCATTTTTCTCTATCTACTTTTAAGATTTTCTCTTTATCACTAGTTTGCAGCCATTCATTATATACTTTGGTATAGTTTTCTTCATGGCTCTTGTACTTTGGGATTCTTTGAGCTTCTTGGATTTGTGGGTTTATGGTTGTAATATTTTAATATTTTTTCAGGTATTTTTTCTGTACCTCCCTCCTTCAGGGACTCCAGTTACGTGGTATATGTTGTATGACACCACTCTGGAGTTCACTTGTGGTTCACTGAGGCTCTGTTCTTCCCCTTGCCACCCCCCCACCCCAGTTTCTTTCTCTCTGTGTTTCCTTTTGGATAGTTTCTATTGCTATGTCTTCAGTTCACTAATTTTTCTTTTATGATATCTACTCTGCTGTTATCCCATCCAGTGTATTTTTCATCTCTAGAAGTTTGATATGAGTCTTTCTTATATGTTCCCTAATTCTGTTTAACATGCTCAATATTTCTCACCTCTCAAATATATGGAATAGGTTATAAAACTTTCAATATCTGTGAATACCAATTTTTTAAAAATAGCCTAATTTTGATATAATTAAAATGCAATAAAACTCCCTCTTCAGTGGTTGTTTTTTAGTATATTCTCAGAGTAATGCAGCCTTGACAACTATCTGACTTTAGAATATTTTCATCACCTCAAAAAGAAACCCCATGCCTATCACTCCCCATTTCCACCTTCCCGCAGTCCCTGACAACCACTAATCTACTTTCTCTCTCAATGTATTTGCCTATAGTGGACATTTAACATAAAAGGAATTATACAGTACATGGCCCATTGTGACTTGCTTCTTTCATTTAGCATGGTGTGTCCAGGATTCATTCATGTTGTAGCATGTATCAGTACTTCATTATTGCTCAGTAATATTCATTTTATGCATATTTTGGTTTTCCATTCATCAGTTGATGACCATACAGATTGTTTCTACTTTTTGGTTATCATGGACAAAGTTGCCGTACACGTTCACATCAAATTTTGTGTGGACCTCTGTTTTCAGTTCTCTTGGGTTTGTGCCTACAAATGGAATTGCTGGATATATGCAGTAACTCTATATTTAACATTTTGAGCAGCTGTCAAACTATTTTCCAAAGTGCCTGTACCAGTTTACAATGCCACCCACAATGTATGAGGTCTTCAGTTTCTCTGCATCCCTGTCAACACTGGTTTTGATTGCATTTCTTTGATGACTAATGATGTTGAGCACCTTTTCACACACTTATTGGCCATCTGTACTTCTTCTTTAGAGTAAAGCCTATTCAAATCCTTTGCCCATTTTTTTTTTTAAGATTTATTTATTTCAGACAGAGAAAGAGAGTGCATGCAAGCATGGGGGTGAGGAGCAGAGGAAGAGGGAGAGAGAAACTCAAGCACACTCTGAGCTGAGTGTGTGGAGCCCAATGCAGGGCTCAAGCTCATGACCCTGAGATCACAACCTGAGCCGAAACCAAGAGTTGGACACTTAACTAACTGTGCCACTAGGCACTCCCTTTTGCCCATTTTTAATCAAGTTTTATATAAAGAGTTCTTTATATATTCTGGATACTAGATCCTTATTGGATATACGATTTTTTTTTTCATTCTGTGGGCTGTCTTTTCACTTTCTTGATGGGGTCCTTTAAAGTGCAAACGGTGGTAATTTTTATGAAAACCAGTTTATTTTTCCTTTTCTCACTTGTGCTTTTAGTGTCATGTCTTAGAACCCATTGTCTCATCTGAGATCACAAAGATTTATTCTTATATTTCCTTCTAAGACTTCTATAGATAGATTTAATTGTTAAATTAAGGACTGTGATCCATTGTTAATTAATTTTTGTATGTGGTATAAGGTAGTGATCCAGCTCATTCTTGTGTGTATGTATATCCAGTTTTCCCAGCACCATTACTTGAATGTTTACCAATTTTATTATCTTTGTCATTTTGGAGTCAGTTTTAACTATTTTTTTCCCTTATTTTGGGTTGTATTTTCTTGCCTTGCATGTGTGATAACTGTTTATGGTATGCTTTACATTGTTAATTTTACCTTTTTGGGTGCTGGATATTTTTGTATTTATGTAGATGTTCTTGAGCTTTGTTACAGGACAATTATGTTATTTGGAAATAGTTTGATACTTTCTGTTCTTGCTTTTAAGCTCTGTTAGTTGGTTGCAAGACACATTTAGTTTAGGGCTAATTTTACCCCACTACCAAGGCAAAACTTTTCCAAGTTCTATAGTTGGTACACCATGAATTACGAGATTTTCCTACTAGGCCGGTAGGAACAATAAGTACTCCCAGTTTGCGCATTGTTCCCTCCAAGTCCTTCCAGGTGGTTCTTTCCCCAGCTTCTGGTGGCGTCCGACATGATAGTGCCAATTAGCACTTAGCTGGAGCTGAAGAGGAACCCTCTGCTGATCTCTGGAGCTTCCTCCCCACCCCCTCTTTCGGCAGCTCTCTCCCCTCCACTACTCTGCCCTACAAAACCAGGGCACTGACCTCCCCAGAATACCAGCTCGGCCTCCTTGTTTTACGGTGTGTCTAGAATTTGTTTGAATCAACACTGGTAAAGTGACAGGCATGGAGAACTGCCTTTGGAGTAAGAGTTTATTACCTACAGTTCCCAGGAGGAGACAGGGTAGAAGGAAGGCATGAGGAAAGTGCAGGATGCCAGGGGCCACCTTGTTTGGATGGAGAGATTATTGACACTGATTAATTCCAGACAGCAATAGAAAAAAATACAAGTTTTCCAAAATTTTAGGTACAGCTAACCACTTGGTGAATAAAAATAGAATTCGTGCTTTCACACTACTTAGTGAAAAGAAATTTTTAAGAGATAGTAAAGGGGCATGTGGCTGGCTCAGTCAGAAGAGCATGCGACTCTTGATCTTAGGGTTGTGAGTTCGAGCCCCATGTTGGGTGTAGAGATTACTTAAAAAAAATAAATGAACTTTAAAATAAATAGGAGAAGAAAACATCATTCACACTAAAGGGAGTAGAAAGGAGAGTTGGAAATCAAAAGAAAGCAAAGCATATACAAAACAGGATGACTGGAGTCAGACCAGATCTCTCTTATATTAATATCTGTGACTGTGTTAAGTCCCTTTATTTAAGAGATACTTTCAAATTACATTTTTAAGGAGGTCTGCCTATGATTTCAAGAGACATACTTAAAACGAGAAAAGATTGAAAAATAAAGAAAAGGACACATATACCAGGCAGATGATGACAGAAAAGCAGGCAAAGTGACAATAATATACCAATCAAAATGGAACCCAAGGCACACAGCATTTAATGAAAATTTGCAGACCAGTCTAAGAAAGCCACATAAATTCACATTGTCTCTAATTCTCTTTCTCTTTCTCCGATATGTGACATCTTGAAAGGGAGAGGGTCAACTTTGCTCAGTATGCAGTCAGTACAATGGAACTAACCCTCAGTAAAAACTCTTTAGGGAGCCTTTAAACCTATTTTAAAATAAATAATCATTTTAGTTGTAACTTTAAAAAATAAATAAATAAAAGGTCAGGAAAGTTTCACATTAGTAACTGCATGCAGTTTCCCTGGTATACATGATTTAGCGGTAGAAGTGTGTGCTTTTAATCCTTAAATCACAGGGGCGCCTGGGTGGCTCAGTCGTTAAGCGTCTGCCTTCGGCTCAGGTCATGATCCCAAGGTCCTGGGATCGAGCCCCACATCGGGCTCCCTGCTCTGCGGGGGGGCCTGCTTCTCCCTCTCCCACTCCCCCTGCTTGTGTTCCCTCTTTGGCTGTGTCTCTCTCTCTGTCAAATAAATAAATAAAATCTTTAAAAGAAAAAAAAATCTTAAAAAAAAAGAAACCTTACAATCCTTAAATCACAAAAACACATTGATCGGGCACACCGTACACCATCAGCTGTGGCGGCCAACGTTAAGCAGTCCTGTCACTGCTGTGTGTCACTGTCGAGAAAGGCAGGTGAGGGGGACATACCTCTCTTGGCCTCCGTGACACCTCACATCAGACAGTGCTTGCTGCAAGGAAAAGGGGGAACAGGAATTAAATCCAATTAATTTGACATTTGTGACGTTTGTGTTCGTTCTCTGTATTCTAAGTGTTTGACTCTTTTTTCTAAATGTAGCTAACGCTGCCTACCTTGGGGGCCAAGAAATGATGAAGGTGGTGAAGAGAGACAACGAAACCATAAAGGCATACTTACCTAAGGTAATCACTTTGGTGCTGCAAGGAAGTAAGTAGATGGGCGGAAATATTTACTGAGCATGAAGTGCTAGAATTGGTTAAGAGTCTGTAAGACCTCAAGGGTTTGTAGATTTCACATAGAGTTCTACTTCTAGTTCAAATAAGGCAGTTCTTGAAAGTTGCATAGGAAGTCAGTAAAGCTGACTGTACACTTCAGTATATACTTAAATAAAGTTTACCACCTGTTTTTGTTAGGTTTGTTTCTAGAATCAGTGCTTCTGTCTAGGGTCTTATGCTGAGGAGATCTCAATAATATTTATTGAATAATTGAGTTATATCAAAATGTGAGTAAAACACTGGACAAGAACTAACATCACTATGACCTGTTGACTCAGCCTGTCTTTCTTTATTCTCCAGTGCATTAGAACAGGAATGTTCAGCTCTGACACCAAGACCAGATTTCTCTACAAGGAGGTGCAGAAGGGCAAAGATTGAAATATTTAGCATTTGGGAGTTAACTACTCCAAATGTTAGCATCTTTTTTTATTTTATTTTATTTATTTATTTCAGAGAAAGAGAGAGGGAGCATGGGCAGGGAGAGGGGCAGAGGGAGAGGGAGAAGCAGACTCCCTGCTGAGCAGGGACCCTGATGGGGGGTTTGATCCCAAGACCCCAGGATCATGACCTGAGCCGAAGGCAGACGCCCAACTGACTGAGCCACCCAGGCACCCCCAAATGTTAGAGTCTTACACAAACACGTTTGGAAGCACCAGTCTCTGAAACTATGAGGGTACTGTGTTTGAGAATATGTCTAAGAACCCTAGAATTGGTGGCTCTGGTACTCCCATGGCATCATTTGTCTGCTGTCCATTCTGAATAGGATAGAACTGAACTGTCTAAATATGATAGCCACCAGCCACGTGTGGTTCCTTGTGGCTAGTCTGAAAGGAGATGTGCTGTAAGCATAACAGACATATTGGATTTCAGAAACTTAGTACCCATAAGAGAGAAAATATTTTTTATATCGATTACATGTTGAAATGATAATATTTTAGACTATTGGGATAAATAAAATAGACTGTTAAAAGTAATTTCATGCATTCTTTTATACTTTTTAATGTAGTTGCTAGAACGTTTTAAAGTACGTATGTGCTTATATATTTCTGGGGAGCTGTGCTAATCTGGAATCTAGAGCTTTACAGTCAGTGCTGAGCTGTGACATCTGCAGAGCCCAATGCAGTGAGCCCTGCTGAGTGGTCACCTCTTCCAGGGCCCAAGAACCTACAGTCTGCAAGTCAAATCTCAGATACCCTCCCCTTGGGTTTAGAATGTCTTCATAAACTTTGAGACATTTGACTTCAGCTTGCTACAGTGTTAATTCGTATTTCTAGAACCTCCCAATACAATTATCTTAAAGCAAAAAATATATATGTTCTCTTAAAAAAAATATTTTCAGAATATTGATCTATAGGAGCTTCACTCGGAGAGGACTTTTGAAAATCTGTGTTTGACTTATGGCCATAGTGGTCATCTTTTTATAAAACAGCATTTGGCTAGAGATTGAAATTTTGAAGCCAGAAGGAAACCCTCACTAGCTGAATGGGGGAGGTTGGGGCCTCAGAAAAACACTTTCTTCGGGACTTTCAGCTGTTTCCAGTCACTGAAGGATGTAAAAATACAAAAACAGTATTTTATTTTTCAGCTAAATTATAAGTGAATTTGTTTCAAAAATGCATTTAAGTTCTCAAGGCCAGAAGTTCATAAAAACAACTCAATTCCCAGTTAGTAAGATACCCACTTCCAAAATTCACACTTGCGGAATGACTAGACCCATCACGTGTCGAAGCCTGTCTTACCACCTGTGGAAGCCAGCTGCTATAAAATACTCATCATTTCTGGATTCTGTTTGTATGTTGTGCTCAGAAAGAGGTCACAAGAAGGTGCTAACTTATTCCTGTCCTAAGTTAAATCCATATGCAAGTGTAATCATTCCCAGATCGAAGTCTGCTTATGGTAACTGTGTCAGGACTGTAAGTTCACTGAAACTTTTAAAAGAGAAATGGGGGTATAATGGTAGATGGCAGGCCATTTCAAGGTTATTATTAACACAGTCACAGGAATAAACTTTTCCAACTACAGAGAATAGTTTTGTTTTGTTTTTTGAGACAGCACTAAAGGGACTTGTGGAATTTGGGAAAGCAAGGCATTGTTTAGTTTAATGATGCAAAACTACCTTGCCATTAATTGATTATCCTTTGTACCAGCTCAGTTTGATCTCTCCACTAGAATAATACAGTTCCAGTTCCTAAGCGAAACGAGGTACAGAGAGACAGGAAGTTTATTGCAACTTTTTGTTTCTGTAATGAAGAAAGAGGAAACATGCTGTAATTTAATATTGGTGAAGGTTGATTCAACAGACGTCCCAGTCTGCTTGAGAAAATAAGGAAACTTGAAAGGGCCCATAGTCTTAGGAAGGTGGTGAGCATTGCCTCCTTCCTTCCAAACAATCCTGATACGTGGTTCAACTTGAAAACCGATTCCCAAGACGAGACATATCCCTTTTTAGATACTCTAGTCAAGGATACTCTGTCCCATTTCAGCCGCAAACATAGGGATTTCAAAAACTTCCTACCTATCCAGGACTGTCCCGTGTGGAGACTCCATGAACCACATATTTTGTTGCAAAAATAAGGTATCTCAATTATTCAACAAATTTTAAAACAGTTCTGAAAAATGTGTCTTTGTGCCATCTAGTCAGGAAGCCACAAGAAAGTCTAAAAGTAGTCTCTCTACTACATCATGTGGATGGCTTTGGGATTCTTTCGGATCCCCTAGAAAACTATCATACCATAATCAGCAGGCTTTGGCTCTACATTCAGATTTTCTACCACTGGATTCCCATTTTCCATGTGAAGAGAACTTTTATCTTCTTGAGGAAAATGGGCCTTTTTAACTCTGAAAAATCCACTGGGCTGATTGCCTGCCTCCCTCCCAGGTCTAGAGACTTTATACACAGTATCAGACAGTTGCATTTATTAGCAGTGCTTCAGTACTACATAAAGTTGTTTCCCTTTCTTGGAGCAAATATACCAGACTCATAGCTGTTTCCAAAAGAGTGTACCGTGACCTGTGGCATCATAGATTGTGTTCTGTCTTCACCTGACTGAATCTTACCTGTCCTTTAAAACTTGGCTCCAGGGGCACCTGGGTGGCTCAGTCGTTAAGCATCTGCCTTTGGCTCAGGTCATGGTCCCAGGATCTTGTGATCAAGCCCCACGTCGGGCTCCCTGCTCGGCGGGAAGCCTGCTTCTCCCTCTCCCACTCTCCCTGCTTATGTTCCCTCTCTTGCTGTGTCTCTCTGTGTCAAATAAATAAATAAAATCTTTTAAAAAAAATAAAAATAAAAAATAAAACTTGGCTCCATTGTCATCTCCAAGAGGCCTTCCCCAGCCCCTGGTTTTGGTTAGATGCCCCTCCTCCAGCTTCCCTGGCTCCCTGTGTAGTTATAATATTGCATTTTTTACACAGTATTTAAGTAGTCAGTTTGCCCCTCTTGTCCACCTACAGGTCAGGAACTATGTTTTTCTCATCTTGGTGTCTCTAAAGACTCAGGACAATTTATGATACCTGCAGAGTTAATAAATAAGTTAATGTATACTAGATGGATGGATGGGGAAGCCATTAGGGTATAGATTCTCAGCCTTTTTTGTGCCAGGGGTCTCTTTGGCCCTCTCATGTATGGACCCCTACTCAGAATAACATTTTTAAGTATGTAAGATAAATACATGAAATTACTACCAAAAAAAGCAATAGTATTGAAGTATAGTTATCACAATAACTTAAAAAAACAAATTTGTGGTATATAGTATGTACACCTTTATTAACACATTAAATAATAAGATAAATAGAATTAAAATTGTAAATGTGTAGCAAGGAGCATAAATAACTTTTTAGTTATCTTCAAGTTTCCTGTGATTTGAAAATTTCCATAATTTTATAGGTAACAAAATATAGGTGTTACTCATACAACTATTGTTTGTTGCCTATATTACTAATTGAAGGAAATATGAAATTATAGTTAGAGGTTAGCAAAAATAAAGATGTCATCTTTTTCCCAAGCAAATTTACATTACCCTTCCCCCACTCACCACATCCACATGAACTCACGTGGACCCATAGACCCCCCCCCAGTGAGGAAGCCCTACTCTTGTGACACCAGACAAGGTTAGGCAGCATGGTGGTGTGGCTTGGGGGCTGGCCTGAGAACAAGAAGCCATGAAATGCTACACTAAAAAGATGAGGTTATTTTGAGCTGTTGGGGAGCTAGTGCATGGTTTCAGCAAAGGGGTAATGATCAGGGTGATATACAAAATGTTTGACCTCCATCTGACATAGCGACTTACCTATCTGAGCCTGTGCCGTCCGTGAACAGCTAGCCAGTTGAGAGCGACCAGTTCATATCAGTCATCCCTAGGAATGTGGCTGGCTTAACAAATGAGAGGGATTATTGGGGGGGGGGTATGGAAAATATTGGAACAGAGGGAAATTTGAGATAGGGAGATCATTCAGAAGGCTTTTACAAGGACTGAGGCAGTGGGATGGGGGTGGAGAGGAGGTAGGATAAGGGAAGACTGAGGAAGTAGAATCAGAGGCACTTGCACTAATAGGACACCAGAGAATGAGAAGGAAGAGTCTCAGATTGTGTTTCCGTACGTAGATTGGTAACAAGATAGGGAATGTGGGAGAAGTACCGGCAAGTCATGGGAGGTGGTTGAGAAACTAGTTCATGGGGGTACTTTGTTTGAGACACCTGTGGGACTCCCAAGCGGACACATGTCTGGCGGGCAGCTGGACATATGGGTGTGAAGCTTAGAATGGTGGTCGGGGTGGAATTTCGATTTGGATATAATGAGGATAGACTCAAAGCCATGAGCCTGGGTAACAGTAACAAAAGGGAGTAGTATATGGAGAGAAGACATCTAAAGATTGATCCTTGGGAGCACAGCTCACAAGGTTGAGAGGAA